TTTTTTGGTCAGTATTATTCCTGTTATATCCATGGTATTTAGATATAATAAGACTCATACTCTCTCCCTCTCTCTCTCTCAAGAAAGGAATTCCTGTAAACGGTTAGATGGTAATAAATAAAACTACTAATCTGTATAACAATTAATGAGTTTTTGATTAATCCTATTAGCGAAAATTTTAAACGAATGTATAAATTAGTGTATGGGGGGAAGTATTGTGAAGTTTGTTAAATTTTATAATGTTGGATGTCGGCTCAGTGGTTTACTCGTTAAGTGTTTTGGCGCGAGAATGGTAGATCCTGGGTTCGAATCTCGTGAGGCGAAACCGTGGCAGCGCACTGTATTAAAACGGCTGTTCAGTGCTTCCAGGTTTTCCATGGTGATCTAGCTTCAATTGACATATGAAAATACTAAAATCTCCACAAAAACCCTTTCTGCTTATAATTTTCATTAATTCACTACTGGAGTTAAAAATATAAACCATTGGTTACTAAATAATTAGTGTGAAGAATGAACACTCACAGTAAAACCTGAAGGTTGTGAATTCGGCCTCTGGTATGGTCGTGGGTACACTCTCCTGATGAGTTCTGCGCTGTGATCAAAAGCTGTTAAACACTTTTCAGTTTTAAGTGGCTGTGTAAGTAAGATTATTCCTTGGTACAAATCATGTATTACTTACTTACTTATTTATATATTTACTTACTTACTTACTTGCTTACTTACTTGCTTACTTACTTGCTTACTTACTTACTTACTTACTTACTTACTTACTTACTTACTTACTTACTTACTTACTTACTTACTTACTTACTTACTTACTTACTTACTTACTTACTTACTTACTTACTTACTTACTTACTTACTTACTTACTTACTTACTTACTTACTTACTTACTTACTTACTTACTTACTTACTTACTTACTTACTTACTTACTTACTTACTTACTTACTTACTTACTTACTTACTTACTTACTTACTTACTTACTTACTTACTTACTTACTTACTTACTTACTTACTTACTTACTTACTTACTTACTTACTTACTTACTTACTTACTTACTTACTTACTTACTTACTTACTTACTTACTTACTTACTTACTTACTTACTTACTTACTTACTTACTTACTTACTTACTTACTTACTTACTTACTTACTTAAGCCTGTTACTCCTCGTCGAGGAGCATAGGCCGAACACCAGCATTCTCCATCCAACTCTGTCCTAAACAACCCTTTCAAGTTCTTTCCAGTTGTTATACATCCTTTTCATATCTGCTTCTATTTCCCAAAGTAATGTGTTCTTTGGCCTTCCACTTTTCCGCTTACCTTCCGGATTCCAAGTTAGGGATTGTCTTGTAATGCATATTGGTGATTTCCTTATTGTATGTCCTATCCACTTCCAACGTGTATACATAATTCTTTATTAATTAACATCAAATTAACTGGGGAACTGATATTTTACAGAAAAAAGCTTCATACTATAGTTTCCTGCATTAATAATGGCTAGTAGCCAAATACGGACGCACATTGGAAACTTCCGGTAATTTATAATTAATTGTAAATTAACTTATTTTTCATATCATTTCTTCATATTGATCAATAAAATAATAATACGTAATGTAAAACTGTATCTTCTATGGTAAGTAAAGATGGATAGTGGCTAGCAGTGGAATCCAGGACATGTGTTTCATCTTATTTGGGACTCGTCAGCCTGGCCAGTCGTAGTCCTAAAAACATCAATGGGAAGATACAAACAAACAATACTATGTATCTTCTATGTTTTCTTGCTTAACCGAAAAAGAATTTTTAATGGTGAACATAGTTTGTGTAGGGATGCTTTCAAGTGAAGATAGTAATGAAATGTTACACTTTTAAATGCTTGCTATATAATCATGTATATTGTCGAGTAACAAGTGTTATAGTTCTGGTAGTGGTTAAAGAACATATGGACCTCAAAATAACTGTCTACAAGACAACATCAAACTCACAATATTCAATACAAGCGTCGATATAGTGAGTTATATTATATGGAGTTGTAACTTACAGAACTATCACAACCATTATCAAAAATGTACAACTATTTATGAACAATTGTCTACGTAAGATACTCAATGTCCATTGACTAAATACCATCAACAACAACCTAGTATGGGAGAGAACAAACCAACTTCCATCTGACGAGGAAATTAGGAAAAGATGTTGGAGATGTATAGGACATGGATTGAGGAACTCATCAAAGTGCATCATGAGGCATCAATAGTATCATCAATAGAATTCATCAGTTCATTTATTTGTGTGTGTTAGTAATGCAGAGGTTCGGCATCGTGTGTTCGGGCGCAGAGACGATAATTCAATTGGTGTCACCATCTTGAAACACCGACTTCGGTGGCTTGGACATGTTTTACGAATGTCGTCCCAGAGACTTCCACGTCGTGCATTATTTGCCGACTCTGGGACTGGTTGGAAAAAGCGGAGAGGAGGTCAGTGTATGACATGGTGTCGTGGCATGAAAGAAAGCTGGAAATGGCTAACTTCTGTTGGTCCTTCACGACTCCCTGGCTGGGGTCCGAGAGATGGTGCAACACAGTGGCTAGAGACGTTATCAGATATGGCTCAGAATAGAAGCCAGTGGCGATCCTGCTGCAACCTTCTTTTACTTTGTACATAAAGAATGGTTCTAACTTTCTTAACTGATAGAGTCTTCTGGTTGTACATTTCAGTCCGCCTTATCTTTTCATCCCTTCTCTTCCTACTTTCATTATTTTGTGTGGCGCATATGTACCTGGTGCCCTTTTGTACCAATATATATGTGTTTAAATAAATAAATAAATAATCATGAGGCATGTGCTAACTTGGAATTCTGAATGGGGACGGAAAGTGGAATGCCGACGAACACACTGTGTCGAGAATGGGAAGCAGATATGAAAAGAATGAATAGGAACTGGAAATAACTATGAAGGTATGTTGAGGACATTGTTGTATGGAGGATGGTTGTGGGTAGGTTATGTTCCTTCACTAGGGGTAACAGGCGTAAGCAAGTAAGTATATTTGGCATATGGCTAGAAACGAAAACCAGAGAGCACATTTCATCCTATTTAAGACTCATCAGTCGAATGTACCTGTATTCTAGTACTGATGTTCACATTGAAAGTCAAGCTTCATACCAGTTGCTACAAACACCAGTTCTCTATCCATTGAGCCACTAAGTACAAATATCTACTGTTATTAATCAGATAAGAAGATATTTATCAAAGTTTGTAACTTTTAGCTATTTATTGTTTGATATTACTATTATTCCGATCATTTAACTACGAATTCATCATGGTGATAAGGTATATGAACTTGTATCAATCCATAATCACTCCAGGTTACTCGCTGTTTACAATTAACTGTTCTTTTCATGGATCTTTGGTTGTCGTTCATGAATTCAAATAAAAGTTTATAACTATGTAATGAATTACTAATTTTTCTATTACACTTATTATATGGGTATTTAAAGCATTGAACGACAACTTCACTATATGCTTAACATATTTATGGTGTTACATGGAGCCAATAAATCAAATTATCTAACATTATCTATTCTAACTGAACCGTATGTTTAACCTTAATATATTTGTATAATTCAAGGATATTTACCAAGGTCAAGACAGCTCTACTGTATGGGGAGGAAACCTGGAGAACAACGAAATCCATCATCCAGAAGATACAGGTGTTTATTTACAGTTGTCTACGCAAAATACTTGGGAGGCGTTGGCCAGACACTATCAACAACAACCTACAGTGGGGGAGAACAAACCAGATTCCATCCAACGGAGGAAGAAGTGCTAGGAGTGGATAGGACACACATTGAGAAAAGCACTCGACTGCGTCACAAAGCAAACACTCACATGGTTTCCTCAAGGTCATAGGAGAAGAGGAAGACGAAAGAACACATTACGCCGAGAAATAGAGACAGACATGAGAAGAATGAACAAAAATTGAATGGAACTAGAAAGGAAGGCCGAGGACAGAGTGGGTTGGAGAATGCTGGTGAGTGGCATACTCTCCATTGGGAGTAACAGGCGTAAGTAAGTAACTAGAAATTTGCATATGATTTGCTTTTTACTAGTTTATATTCATAAATTTGTTAGAAATCGAACTCATAAATAAAGAAGTAATATTGTAACAGTTATGTAACATGGTATATAAATATATTTTTTTATCAGAAGGGGGTTTCATAGAGATTTTAATAATTTTATATAGTTGAAATCATTAGTCAATTGAATTTTATATCACCATGGAAAACATGTAAGCACTGGACAGCCGTTTCGTCCTATTGTGGGACTGCAGCTCAGTAGTCTGTCGGTCAAGTGCTCTGGTGCAAGAATGGTAGGTCCTGGGTTCGAATCTGGCGAGGCGGGATCATAGATGCGCACTACTGAGGAGTCCCATAATAGGACGAGTTGGCCGTCCAGTGCTTCCAAGTTTTCCATGGTGGTCTTGCTTCGATTGACTCATGATCTCAACTATATATTTTTTACTTTTCTGAATTGTCTTTACTTCTTCAGTAACATCATAGGTTACTTTCATTATATGTTTGTACATCAACTTGTGAATAGATTTTCGAATCAATTCAATTCGAAAAAAAAACAACTGCAAGATAAGTATAGACGACAATAACAACAACGACGAGTAGAACGAGTCAATCGAATTGGATAATCGATTGAAACTCCCTTCCCATACTTAGCTATATGTATATATTCGCACTAAATAAGTCGGTATTATCATTATTCTCTTCTGAAATGGTTATTGTTTTATACGTTATATATGTATGTATGTATATACCCATTTCCTGTGTCATTTCTATATCTACATAGGATTGAGAGAGAAATTTAGAAATGTAAACTAATTTAACTTAAATAAGCGAACCAATCAAAATGTAACTTTCATTTATCTTATATAAACTACTAACCAACCTTCTGAACGACATCATCATCAGCAGGACTAATCAACCTTATTTATGAAAAATTTTCTCTATACTTTACATTCAAACTTTGTTTATGTGTATCCAAGGTATACATACATGTAGAATACATACCATACCAGAACATACCATACCCTTTATTTCAACCGATCGAATAGAACAAACTGTTTGTTTACAAGTTTACATTTGTATGTTAGTCTCCATATATACATATAGATGTGTATTAGTATACGAATATAAGTAGCGAGTAAAGTGTCCCCCCTCTTAAATATAATAACCAACCTACTTTTCTTTCTATCTATCAGTCCGAGTACAAAATTTTCATTCCAAAAAACAAAAACAAAAAAAAAGAAAGAATTATCATAGGTTAAAAATTATGATTATTGTCATGACGATTATGGATTGGTGAATAAATAATTTACTTATACTTACTTATATATTGAATTGAATGAAATCGAACCAAGGATACAACTTTGTGTAGATTTTAAATATTGAATATATATACTTACTATACAAGATCATTAATAAGGAAATATTATATTAGTTTCGTCCCTTAGAAAAACAAACAACCTCTTCAGAAATCATTCAATGAAATATATACATTAATACATATCTCTTTTTGAATAAGAATATAATACTACTACTACTCATCATCATAATAGAATGAATACTACTGATATACAGTCGATGAAATCAGAATGGAAAACGGATTGCACGGTAAGTACATTATAATTACTATTATTATTATTATTATTATTATTATTATTATTATTATTAGTAGTAGTAGTAGTAGTATTCGTTGTCAATATTCGGTTTGATAATTTTAAATCAAATTAAGTATTTGACTGGAGTATTTATGATAATAATATATTTTCAGAAGGGTTTTTGTATGTGGAGATTTTAGTAATTTTTTTAAAAGTTGAAACCATGTATCAATTGAAGCTAGGCCACCGTTCCGTTCTATTGTGGGACTCCTCAGTAGTGCGCACCCATGATCCCGCCTACGCGAGATTCGAATTCAGGACCTATCAGTCTCGCGCGCGTGAGCGCTTAACCACTAGATAATAAATTTGGATAGTTAATGTTTTGTGATTTATAATAAGCTTCCACTTCAGAATATAAGTCATTGGATTTGGTCGTTTATTCTTTGAAGAAGCAAGATATACTATTATATAACGTGAACAATTCAATTTTTTGATCATTTGAATGTTACAAATACATTATTACTATTATTATTAATGACCTAGCAGCTGTAAAACTGTACTAATTTGATGGACTAAGGAGTAATACATTTATATTATTACAATGTATTTGAAACCATATAAACATTAAAGTTGTAATTCTTAAGTAATAGATTTTATCAGAAGGAGGTTTATGGAGATTTTAGTAATTTTATAGTTGAAATCATGCTGAGGAATCCCACAATAAGACGAAACGGTCATCCAGTGCTTCCAGGTTTTCCATGGTGGTCTTGCTTCAGTTTATTCATGATTTCAACTATAATGGATCTTAATTACTTCACTTTAATTAATTCACTTAAAATCCATTTAGTTAATAAGATGACTATAATTAATGGTGAAGCGAAAGATCAATGAATAAAACATTGGAATTTTAATAATTAGATTGTAAGTTCGAATCCAGCAATGGCTATCTCATTTCGATTATTTGTATGGTATATGGAAAATAGTTAGTGAAAGCCAGTTATATGAACTAGTGCTAAGTAAAATGGTCTGAACTAAATATCTATATTGAATAGTAAACAAATGTTGTTCAACTTCCCTCATGAATGTTTTATTCACATTTAAGATTTGTTAATAGTATCCAAACAAAATCCCACATAAAATCGAATCCAGAGTTGTTAAAGGTTGTGGTAAAAACGACATGAGATTAATTGGAATGAGTCTGATTGACTTTGGTATTTAGTGAATTGGATTCCAGTCTCTGGTGGATTGATTTGCCCTATATGAATCAAGCACCGTGATATTAATTTGCTGATAGATAACTCACATTTTCATAAACTTCAGTATTAAATAATATAAAATTAATTACTCTTCAATAGTCCGATTCAGTTGTCCAATCCATGAAGTCACTAACAAGTGGACTGAGCCATGCTGGTAGGTGTAGACTATCTGATTGGGATTCGCGAGAGAATAGCGATCGATGGTTAGAGACCTAGAATGACATGGCTCAAAATCGTTTGCAATGGCGAAGGTGCATCCACTCTTTGTGTCCTCCCAAATTCTAATCTTCTGATTTTTTTCATGTTTCTATCATATTTATTTCCAAATTTATTTCATTGGATTAAACTCCTTGAATATCATCTTCAACTCCTAATCTTTCCGATTACTGCTTATACTCTTACTACTTCTACCACTATGCGATTTGAATCGACAACTGCATATTTGTGCTAATGTGGTATGGCAACTCGAACTGATGTACGTACGTACGAAGTTCTACGTTGTAACTGACTGATTGACTGACTCTTCAGTAAGCAATCGGTAAAACTTTTTAATATGAACTATTCACTTTAAAATTAAATGGTCATTATGTAATCAAATTGAAACAAAAGAGGTCTGACGGTGTCGGTCCATGCTGGAGCCAAAGTCTTAACTTATTCAAACGATCGAATATTTTATAATTTCCGTAGAATATTACTTTATTATTATTATTATTAGTGGCTTTATTCAATATTATGTTTTTGTACAATATAGTATTCTCAGCACAAAATATTTGAACAAGTTTCCGTTTCTTACTTCTTGGTCTATCGTGACGACAAATATTGAATGATCGCCATTTAGATGTTAGCAATCCAGTCAATCGACATCTGAATAACGTACATTCTTTTCGTTGCATATTGTCAGCAACCACGATGTCTCTGATTAGGTCTTTTGTAACCTATACAGAGAAAGGTTGTACATTTTTCACAAATTCATCTGATTAGCTTGTGCGACTGTTACATATACTGATGTATTAAAACAAAACAAAATTAGAACACTTGTTGAAATATCTAGATGACAGGAACAGGTAGCCCGGATGTTTAAGCAGGCCGCCAATATAGTACATGATATTCTCATGTAACAATGAAATGTTTCAGAGGTCAGCCTCATTTATACATAACTCATCTGTAATTAAAGATAAAGTAAAGACAATTTAAGGTGAAAAGAATTTTCTTCTTACTGATTTCTCCTGCTGACGCTGTACGACCATGACGTTATATAAGTATCTATGGTAAAGTAAATGGATGTTGCATAATTTCAAAAGTGATTGACTTGTCATCTGACTATCGGCTTTACCATCGAATCATCAACGAGTAGAATTCATCACCTCAACACGTGGTTGATGTTCCATCCACCGACTCTTTCAAAAGAAAGTTGGATCAACTGAGAGACCATCATCACCAGGACTAACACAGGCCATCAAGCCTCCTATCCTTTCCAAACTGAAACTGAAACATTAAGGTGAAAAATAGATCATAAATGAAAAAAATGGTTTATAGTTCAGAAATAGGAGAGACAATTTTGCATTTGTTAGATATATGGAAACAATAACTATGTGAAATTGTAAGAGAGTAATCATAAGTGCAAAGTTCAGGCTTCAAACTAATGGTGCCCATTTTAAACTAATTCATTTGAATTCGTAAATTATTTTGAAAGATACTTCTATCTAGGCAACTTGACTAGGACTGATGAGATGTTTTTTCAATTGAGCTAATGTTTCTCCCCCTTATTTCTTTTTTAAAAACGACACAAGGTAAACCGTTTATTTGCAGCCAACCCAAGTTGTTCTCTTTAGATTGTTACATAATTTTATGACACCTGAAAATAATTTCGATTATTTTTCAAATCAAATGGGCGTTTTGTGAAGATTTTTAGTAATTTTATGTTTGGAATCATCAGTCAATTGAAGGTAGACCAACATGGAAACCTGAGAGCCAGCTCAGTGGTTCTAAAGGTTAAGTACTCGCGCGCGCAAAACTGATAGGTCCTGGATTCGAATCTCGTGAGGCGGGATCGTGGGTTCGCACCACTGGGGAGCCTCACAATCGGACGAGTTGGCCGTTCAGTATTTCCAGGTTTTTCATGATGGTCTAATTTCAATTGACTCATGATCTCAGCCATTGATATAAATTATTAATTAATTAGTCATTTAAGGGTGGTTTTATATAATATTTCTTTTAAGGGAATTAACTTGTTTAGGTAATTCTTTCCCCTTAACTTGACCTTTTATTTATACAGTTACTATGAATACTTTATATTAGTCTTAGAAAAATAAACAAATAAATAAAAGTTTCCATCTGTCTGTTATTTCAATGCCAGTAATAAGGTGACCTGATGATAGAAAGTAGATACATATATAAGTTGAGGAAAGAAAAAAGTCGTTTGAATTTTAATAGTTTACATCTTGAACTGACCTTAGACAATAATCAACAATCTATATCAACACCTCTTATAAGAATACAACTTTTTGTTGTTGTTGTTGTTGTTGTTTATATATAGACATTAAGTTAATCAAGTATTCTATTTATTATCAGAAGGGGTTGTTGTGAAGATTTAGGGACTCCTCAGCAGTGTTGAGGAGTCGCTCCATAAGACGAAACGGCCGTCCAGTGCTTCCAGGTTTTCCCTGGTGATCTAGCTTCAATTGACTCACGCTTACAACTATTCTATTTATAATATGACTTATTATTGACCCATGAAACTATGCATGTAAACACAATTTATTCTATTAGTGTTTCATTGATGATGATTCAATAAATCTTCAACCGGCGATAACTATTTCTTAAAATATATTTAAATTTATATATCATATATCCCTAACAAACCGTAGGTAGATAAACATTGAAAATCAGGAGGCAGTGGACAGCTGTTTCGTCTTAGTGTGAGACTTCCCAGTAATGCACGTTCGTGACGTCACAGGAGATTAAATCTAAAGTCCTAATGAGAAAGTATTGTTTAGAAAGATATTGAAAGCTTTACGACTAAACAGTTCAGTTCAGGGAAGTACATTAACTCCACATAATTATACTTATTGAAAAGTAGCAATTTTCAAAACTCATCAATTCAAGAATAAGGAAGTAACTAATAAAACTTCTCATTATTGAGCTATGCCGTAAGTTAATCGAGGATGACAGTATAGACCATTCTATTCTAATTCACTGATTTCAAGGTATCATGTCATTATGGGATCTAAAGGTTTAACGTTCTGTCCTGTGTATTCTATTGTTGATGCCCATCGCTTACGAGTCATAAACGAAATCGAGCATCCGATTGGAATTGTATAAGTTTTCCTAGTTCTACAAATAATTTTAATCGCAGAAGAAAGTAATTTCCTAAGGAAATTATACTTGCCTTATATTTGATATAAATACGGTTTCAGATTCGTCGTCATGAGACCAGTTGACTTCATCAGGATTGATTCCGATTTGATGATGCTTAAATATTTGTAGTTCTGTTATCCTGCTTACTGAAGTTAAAACCTGAATATTATTGAATGAGCACAGTATAGATTTGATTTAATTGTTAAACATGGAATATTCTTTGATAATTTTGATTTACTCTGAAGAAGTCCAAACAAGCTTGCTGGACAAAACGTTGGGATTATGTAAATTTCAATCGCCCCATTTCTACCAAACTATTTCTTCTTATATTGACGAATACTCGTATTATTTACTTACACCTGTTACCTCTTGTAGAGGAGAATAGACCACCCACAAACAT